TCTACCTTTGTTATTTCAATCCACTCTCGATTGCGTCAACTTAAATTGGCGGAATTTAGTGGAGGGAGCACAGAATGGGGCGATTCCTTGGACATGTTTACTACGGTCATTGATAAGGATCCGTAATTAACCAACATGGGAAAACTTCAGCATCTACGGTCATCAATGCAAAGGGCAGCACTGGATACAATTCGCTTATTGAAAATGTCAAATGTTAGTTGTGGTGTCGCTGTAGCACTGCTTGATAAGTGTTTTATTAACAATGGTCTTGCTTTTCAGGCACACATCGCAAAAACAAAATAGTGCTCCACAAGCAAGCTGGATGGATGATGCGTCGTTTGACGTCATACCTATCATACGAGTGGCTTACAGTTTTCATCGAGAAGTGTTTCCAAAATGCCAGAACAGTAGTAGAAGAACTTTTATAGTGACTTAGAATGTCGCAGGCCGCTCCATTTATAAATGTTAGCAATTCACAAATTAATCGGCCTCGCCGCACCTTCACGAAACCAAGCGGACATCAGCTGAGAGTCTGCGGCTCCAGCACTTGCAGAGTTTTTTGGAAACAAGCATCATAGCCTGTTGCATCTTGGCAACTCAAGCAGTCACATCGCTGCTTCTAGCTAAATTGTGTTTGCTCAAGATACCGAAACTAATTCCTCATCTCAAAACATCCCGACGGGAACTTTATCTTCGCCACTCCCCATCGACCAGGATCTCAAGCACGATATTGTCCTCTTTGCCACTGCCGTCATCAATGTAACGAGTCGAGCGGGGTTCTTGGTGCCCTGCCGTGCGTTGCTCGAATCTGGGTCGCAATTGCACATCATCACCTCTCGTCTTGCTCATCAGCTCCAGCTGCGCAAATACCACGGCAGTTGTGTCTGGCATTGGTGATGCAGCGTTTGCGTCCGATGCTTTTTTCAGTAAACATCAATGTCCATCTCCATCTCCTGCAAACAAGCGCTTCGCTGATTGCTTACTTATAAATAACTATCCAATTTTGAAAACCTTCAACGGTCAGGTCTGACAATGCGCCCAATTTCGTAGGCGCCAGGAATGAGCTGGCAGATTTGAGCCGCCTGTTCCTGAGTGACGAGCATATCAAGCATGTCAAAGCTATGGTCCGTCTGTCTCATCACGGCAATTATTAATTCTCGACAATTCCGTCCAGCTGTTCTTGACGTCTTGATACCCGCACACTTTCTGGATACAGCGACATCTTCGTTATGCATTTACCCGATTTAATACTGCCTAACTTCAATCGGCTTATAGCCGAACACATTTCTTACACATTTCTGAAAATGTCACATTTTTGCAATACATGTGAAGTGCGGCCTGTACGTTTCCCCATAAAAAAACACACTTCACACATCTTTCAAAAGAGACACATTTTGGAAAAATGTGTAAATTCGCCCCGAACATTTCGTGTGTTTTACGATCATTAATCGAGATTTCTATCGATGTTGTGAAAAATGACAAGGTATAGTAAAAATAAGCAGCTGATATATCAACGAAGGCAAGCGGCAACTTTAAATACGAAATTTAAAATTAGAATATTCCCACAGTTTTTAGAATTTAAACATGGCGAAATTACGAAAAGAGTGCCTAAAATGGAGCCCTTACTTCGAGAGCGCAATTTTTTAGTTTTGGAAGAAGAACCTCACGGCGCTTATATAAATTAGAGAAACTCGATCAGCTGTTTATTTTAAGAAGCGGTACTTTCCCACTCACATGTTGCCGAGAACCGGTGGAACACCAATATGTGAAATTTGAAAATGTGACATTTCTTAAACCAGTGGACAGAGATTATTAACTATTTTCAGCGTGTCACTTATCTCCAACAAGTATTTTAAGCCCCTTTGACGCGAAGAATTTTCTAGGCTTCTTCAACATTGCTCCAAATAGCGCACTCCCCAGTCAGGACCCTCCATCAACGATATCATCCTTGTAAAGGATGAGAATGTTCAGCCGCTGAAGTGGCCAGTAGCCAGAGTGCTAGGGCTGATCTCGGGATCTGATGGGGTACCCAGAGTTGGTCTGCTTCAGACTGCGACTGGATTTATATGTTAAAAGCCCTTTGCTCTCCAACGGGGGAGACTGCTTGGTCAATTAACCAACAGAGACAGCACCGACGGCTGCGTGTAGTAACAGCAGAATTATGTTTGCGAGCTATTTATAAGCTGCTGCCTACTCTCTTTCGTTGGCCCTTTGCCTTCTGCATTGACGCCTGTGGCCCATCGCTTTGCTGGTCAAAAAACGAAAATTTATTCAACATCTGCCGGGGTGCTTAATTATAGGCGGTTGGCTTTGAAACATCAGCAAGGAGTACGGACGTTAAATTATATGTTGTAACGCCAACCCAAAGGCTTAGCAAGGATCTTATATGTTATGTGCGGTTTTTTAATTGTCAAGTAATTGATTATTTGATAATTTTTATTGTTGTTTTTAACACAAAATGTTGTTGTCATTGTGTTGTGAGCAACAGCTGAAGAGGCTGCAGACAGCCGGGTTTGTTTTTCAACTCCTATTTGCAACCGCGGTATCTTCAATCAAATACTTAGCAAAAATCTTTTGATACAAAAGCCCTCACTGACCATTTATTACACAATATCGGAGGCCAGTAAGAATCTTGTTCAAAAACAGTGCTGAGCGAAAATCTCGTTAATTGATCACGACGAATCACAGTTTGGGAACAGTCACTTTTATGTAATTTAATTTGGACGCACTACATCAGAATCATCCTCCAAGGACTCCAGCTGTCGATCGCAGCACTAAATGCCACAGTTGCAATTGTCTTAGTCAACATCAAGGAGCTGAAGGACGCGCAAAGTCCTCCGCAGATCGTTGTTCCCAATAACCGAAACCAGTTGCCCCTCAGATCGTGGAACACTCGCAACATCATACTAAATGCCAACGAGCTCAAATTGTTTCTGCGAAAACATGAAATGGCCGTCATGCTTGCCTCAGAAACGTAATTATACGCAGAACTTGTACTCCCCCATGTGCCAGAGACTTCCAGCGCTGCACAGATTACTGCCATTATGACCGAAATCCCGGTAGCTGCAACGTCATAAATTCTTTTTCGGATGCGTCTTCAACGCAAAACACAGGCTGTGGGGAAGCTACAGAGATGACAGCACAGGCATTGCGCTGCATGAAGTGCTCACATTCTGCTCGGTCAAGGTCCTGGCCACCGGGAGCCCCACCCACATCCCTTGCAAAGGGCAAAGTACATTTTCTTATAATGGCTTTCTTATATACAAGGATATTCCCACCAGCATATTATTCGTGAATAAAATAAGGTTTTATCCGACCAAATGCCTGGCAATGGTCTCTACTTCTGTTCAAAGGGCCATAAGCCATAAAGCGCAAGCTTACCTCCCCTGACTCGTACATTCAATGCTTGAATAGAGTATGCTGACATTGTACTTCAAGCCCTGTTGGACTAAGTACATGCCTCGGGTACCAACGCTGCGTCAGCACAAATGTACCCTCGCTGACAACGCAAAATATAAGCACGCTTCCCCCCATAGTTGAAGAGCTTACTTTCCTCAAAAAGCGACTGAGGAGGGAGTAAGTTTGATGCAGGGACCCCCGGGTCAACTGGATCTATCGCCGTATCGCTAACAGGATCAGGAAGCACTTTACTATTCTGAAAAGAAAACCCACATACACTATTCTGGAAAAAAAAAAAATCGCAGACGAGTGCATTTCAAGCCAATTGCGACCGCAAATGGCCTACTGCCATAAAAGGCGGTGTTTTTCTCGGAGCCATCTCCAATGCAGCCCCTGGGCTACGTTACGTTCCAGTGCCCTGGAAGAAAGTGAAAATCATTATGTTGCACAAGATTGAAAAGCCCCCTAAACAGCTAAAAACGTATCGCCCCATGAGCCTCCTTCCTGCCTTAGGCAAGATTCTGGAAGATGCACTCTTAGAAGGACCCTGGATACCCCGGTGATGAAAGGTTCAATCCCAAAGTGCTAGTTTGGGCCATGACTCAAGCACGGTACCCCGGAGCAGATCCACCCGATGATTTACTTCATTTTGGCCGGCTTTCACAGGAAGGAGATGTGATGGCAGCATACTAACCAGACGGCAGGACCTTATAGCAAGGACACGCCAATCCTTGGCAAGAACAGATGCGTATATGCAGCAACGGACATCCTGAAGCAGTATCTAAGCGCTTCGAAAAATTGACTTGTTGGTAATATATATTAGTAAGCCCAGAAAATATGCTACGATCACTCACACCCTGCGAAAATTTTCCTGCCCCGGACTTTTTCACCATGGTAAGCTTTTAGAACAGGCATGCCGACAAATAGTTAAGATTCATTTTCGATAGACGACTTAAAAAAGCCGTTAAAAAGCCTCTGTCCACTGAACACATTTGTCCCACATTTCTGAATATGTCACATTTTTTAAAAATGTGTGAAATGCGCCCTGTGCGTTTCCCCATAAGAAACATATTTCACACATCTTTCAATAAAGGCACATTTTCGAAAAATGTGTAACTTCGCCCCGAACACTTCCTGTTTTTTGCGATAATTAATCTAGGTTTCTATCGATATTGTGAAAAATAGTTCCTATGTTATACTGTTTTGTTGATAAAGAGCGATAAACACATTTTACGTTGCAGAGGTGAAGAGAAGATTATTGATTTTCTCAAGCTTTTGACTGAGGACATAACTTTGAAGGAGGTTCTTAAAATAGCTGAAGTCAAACTGTGTAATTTTCTACTTGGTGAACATATTTGAATGTATTATCCGGTTTTAGGGCACAAATATGTTGTCGTTGCAACACAAAGCTACTAGTATTAGTTGTTGTCTAATAATATTGTGGTTATACGAAAAATCAAAGCAATAGATTTATGTATACATCCCTTTGAAATACACCACATATACGCTTTTAATATTTAAGTTCCAACTCTTGCGATCAGATTGTTTATACGCATCACAATTTAGGGTATGATAAAAATTTAATTGATATATAGCATTACCTCTTTCCCTTATTCCGAGACAACTTTCTTTTTTCGCTAGGAACCCGACTATTTTTACGATGACTTTTTGTATATCCACTTGAGTCTATAGGAGTTTTATTATTTTGCATTGAAGGGGCAACAGTTTTTAAAACTCGGGTTGAAGATGGTTGACGAGTTTTGCTCCTCCTTTCAATATTAGTAATTATTTGATGCCCTTGAAGAGATTTGCTAGAAGTTCTCGTGCTCAATCCATTTTCATTCAATGAAGATTTCACATTTCTGGTTGATATTTCCTTTTTCCTTGCGAGCAATCCTGCAGAACTGTTATAATTATTATTTCGCTTTGACTGATCGGTTCTTAATCTCTCAGCTTCAGCACGAGTATTTAGGTTAACCAAACGGTATGTTTCTTCTATGAACTCGTCTGGCTGCCGAGAAAGTAAAGCGTATTCCGGAAAATCCAAAGATTTTATAGGTGTACTCAATAAACTTAAACGATTGTTTGTCGCTAATGTATAATTAGTTGTTGATTGTCCATTAGAATTTAGGACTGTAAGCGGTGTCGGCTTTATTCCAATTTTACTTTCATCAGCTTCTTGTAAATGCGGTTTGGAGTCAATAATATTTAATTGGTCGATTGTTGGTTTGATTATTGGATCTGAAATACCGAAGAGATAGATAAGAGATATTAATGTACCCATTATGGGTTAAGCAAAGGAACCATCAGTAAGAAAATATAATTACAATTGAGGGTTAATGTAGAGACGCAAGCTTGTGCAGTTAGTTTTCATGTTTACCTTTGCAGACACATACATATGTCCGCAGGTAGCTTTTGTTATTCCCTATGTTTTATTATTTTTTTATAAGGGGATTGAGGCTTCGTTTATGCAACAAATAAATATAGTACTTATAAAATATCACAGTTCAGTGTAGATAGTAAGATGAGCACGTACAAGAATAAAAAGTAACTAAGTAACTTGATTTTAAAATATTCAGATCAAAGAAGCGCATTCCATTCTCTCAACCTAATGATTTACATGTATGAATTACAGCGCATACGTACAGATTTTGAAGTACTTATACAGACATATTTCACACAAACAACGCTTGCACGCCATTGGCTGGGATAAGTAATCCTCTCCAGTATACATTGTGAAACAAGCAAGAGGCTCTAGACAACAGTTCTCTACTAGAGGATACTGAACCCTCATCTACACAACATACAGCTAGCGGTAGAAATCGCAATTGCAATTCTGTTGATAGCATGTATGTATATGTCGGAGAATCAAAGTCATCTCCCTGCAGGTCTTCATTGTATGTCGCTTCATCGTTCAGATTCTAGTGTTCCATACTCATTTCTGGTGGATGCAGCGAGTCTTCGTTGCCTTTGTTGCTCATTATTGTCTCTTAAATACCAAGACCAAATCAAGCAACGCATACGAAGTCATACACAGCCACAGTTTGCAAACTGAGTCCCCACTCTACCAAAAATAGTATCTACCAGCACAACCCATGGTCACACCTTAAAGTCTCATGCCTATTGAGATGCTACAGTACTTCCTCTCCGACACGGCCATTCTGACATATACACGTCCTCGTGTCTACCATAAAAATCTCAGATTCATTTCAGCTTTATAATTTCATTGAATACTTCAGAAAAACTTAACCAAATAATCTCAAGTTCATATAATATCCCATAACATTACTTTACTTCTATTTTAAACCTGTCGTATGTTATTTTAACAAATCTTAGGTTATATTCTCTTATAAACCATTTCTTTCATTTACATTTCTAAGCAAGAGATCATTTCAATATTTTCAAATAATACATTAATCAGTTCAAATCATCAATTCGTAATCCAAGATGCATAACCAGGCTTTTATTAGACAACTTTTAAATCCATCGCCAAACAAAGCACCGCCCAACACTTGGCTTCACGATTTCATCAACCACATTGCTCGTACATCGCCCAACAATTGGCTTCACGAATTCATCAAACAAATTTCTAAAGCAACCCTCGTCCATCGTCAATCATATGACTTCACGAACACTCTTCTGTATCAACAGACTATTGCAACAGACTTTGTTGTTTATAATTTACATCAAGCTCTTCTGGAATTTGCAGATCAGATACCTTCCGCAACTTTCGTGTGGATACTTGTAACGTCTATTGTTCTGTGTAGACTTTTAAACGGTATCGGTCCAATACCTCGACCACCAAAAAAGGCTTCTGAACTTTGGATCTAATTTCGTTTGCTGTCTCTCACTGTTTTTAAGCAACACAAAGTCACCCACACAGCACCTAATGATATAGTGATTACGATCACTTTTCCGCTCAATTTTGCCGATATATCTATGTGAACGGTATGCCAAGAATGCTAATTTTTGGAATTGGGTGTAATTTAATTTTAGGTTTTCCTGAAGTACTCTTAGAAACTCTGCATGTAATGATCGTAGTGTTTTCTCCCAACCTAGATGTATGATAGACTCATGTACCTTATATATATCTGACCAGCGGAATGCACGAGGAACTACCGGTAAATAACGAGTTCTTGAATTCCTCTGAATCTTTCTATACAAAACATTTGATCTAATTTCATAAGTGGTAACTAATGCCAATGGTAAATCGTCATTCTTCAACTTAGTTAAGATTTCTGTTATTTTTGGATCCTTTTGTTGTTCCACCAATATCCAGTATTCCGACATTTCTGTTAGGTCAATTCGCTTCTCTTTTATTTTACTTGGTACTGATTTATTCTTTTGACACACCACGTGTGCCATGGGTTTACCTTCTCTGTCTTCAATTTCTAATTCAAATATTTGTTAAAACTCCCACCAACGATAAACCCTAGGGGACAATTCGAGAAGATTTGATTGTATTAAAGTCAATAAAAATCACAAATTTTCTCCCATGCAGATAGTGACGAAATTGTTTTACAGCATACACGACAGCCAGCGTTTCCAATTCATAGGATGTTTACCTGGACTTACAGGAGTTAGTTGCTCGACTAGTGTTCAACCACATGAGGCTTAGAGTTTATGCGGTGCAAAAGGATAGCACCATACCCGATAGAGCTGGGGATCAAAAATAATCAAAATAGGCTTATTTGTTAATACACTGATGATTTTATTGCGAATTTCTTCATGCTGTGGCTGCCAATCAAAACTATTCTTTTTAGATGTGGGAAAATATGAAGGGTTTATCAGTTGTGAAAACCCCGGAATGAATTAACGAAACTATGATGCTAACCCAATGAACTGTCTTAGAGTAGCAACTTACTTTGGTGGAGGCAACACCACTAGCGATTTGGACGTATTTCCCCGCTTTTATCTCATAGCCAAGGTAGCGACCTGTAGATCTCAAGGAAAAGCACTTCGAAATGTTAAATGAGAGCCCTGCCTAATACGTCTAATACAAGTTGCAACCGTGCATACGCTTCTTCCTTCGTTTCTGAAACAATTAATATGTCGTCCATATAAACGATTACAAGCGTATGAGCAAGACTGCCATGTGCTTTCAATACAGCTCTTTGAAACACTGAGGGTGCGTTCTTTAATTCAAAGGGCATCGAAAGAAATTCGTACTGCCCATCAGGAGTAACATAAGCAGTATATTTAGTTGATTCAGGGTGCATTGAAATCTGCTAATACCCACTAGCCATGTCCAGAGAAGTGAAATATTTAGCTCCCCTGAGTCCACCTATATGAGCTGATATCAACGGTAATGGAAACTTATCAGCTACTGTATTTTTATTTAACTCTCTAAATCAACACAAAGTCTTGCTGAACCGTTTTTGTTCTTTACTAATAACGCAGGACTAGTAAAGTCTTAGTCGAATCAAACGAATATGCATTTTCCCAGTACTCACACGCGTTTGCGGAGTGCCTTCGATAAAAGATTTTGAGTGTTGCCTTAAAATTGCTATTAAAATTTCTTTTTCATTGCCGACAGTTTCAATTTCAATGTTATCAAAATAAGTTGGTTGAACGGTTTCACAAACTTTCACAACTTTCGTTTAAACAATCTTAAAGTTACCGTAAGAAACTTCTACTATAAACCCTTGAGCCAATATTATTTTTTATATATTCGTCTGGTACTATATGAAACAAAACAAACGAAGAATAACCATCAATCATGATGTTTGATTCAACTTGTACAGTACTGTAAGTATTGGCAATACCTGTTCCCTTCAACGAGATAACGCTATGAATCCTCTTTCCAACTAACTTATTAAAAACGCTTTCTTTAATTAATGAGTACTCAGCTCCCGAATCAAATGTAATTGGAAATCTCTCACTATTGACCAGCATACTCGGTTGAGGCTCCACTATAGCGCTCAGCTCCAGTCCTTTTTTCGATCTTACTCCCAATCTTGTATTCTGCACTTTTTTTTTTGGCAATTAGTGGCAATATGTCCTGGCTCCTGACATCTATAGCAAGTTACATTTGGCCTTCCATGACGAGGCTGCACTCAACGCCATTCCTTCCAGTTGCCGAAACCTGGAATCCCTTTCCAGATCTACAGTCTTGCTTTTTATGACCTGGTTTTCCACACTGATAACATTTGAGTTCCACAGTCTCTGGATCCCAGTTTGATGTAATAGGACACTCTTTCAGTGCTAAGAGTACTTGCAGCTCAAGTCAATTGTAGACATGCGTTGTGTGTATCATTCGTTGCAAACGCCGGTCGAAATTGGCCATGTGCCCAAGAGCCAACGCGATGGAAATTTGTTCAGAATACAAATAACGCAATTTTGTGCACAGTGACGTCACGGTGCGACTCGCAAAAACAAGCAAGCTTTCACCATTGGTTGGACGGCTATTAAGAAAATTCAAAATAACGGCGGCTGGCGTCTCCGATCTCTCGTATCGCTGCTCAAACAATTGCCTGAACTGTTGCCAAGTTATTCCTGGGTAGCATATTTGTGATAACCACTGGGCCTCTGCACCTTCCAAAGCTTTACTCAACGCTAATATAAGAGCGCTGTCACTTAACGTTATGTCGACCGTAGCGCACCACTGCGTGGCATCCACCCTAGCAATGTTCGGATTGTATTTCGGCAAGCAAATCTCGGTAGTCTGTTGTAGCTCGCTCGCCGGCATATGTAGCCTCTTAACCAGTTTCATAAAATATCGGGTTCGCTGCTCTAACAACCCGAAGACATCCCTTGAATAAGTTTGGTTAGGGCCGAATCTCACTTCTGTCATCTCCCTGCAGGTCATCATTGTATGTCGCTTGATCGTTCAGATTCTGGTGTTGCGTACTCAGTTCTGGCGGATGCAGCGAGACTTCGTTGCCTTTGTTGCTCATTATTGTCTCTTAAATACACACACGTTACCACCTCACGTCACGCCGGAAAAACAGAAAAGCCATAAGAGAGAGACCAGATCAAGCAACGCATACGAAGCCATACACAGCCTCAGTTCGCAAACTGAGTCCCCATTCTACCAGAACTAGTACAGCACAACCCATGGTCACACCTTAAAGTCTCATGCCTATCGAGATGCTTCAGTACTTGCTCTGCGACATATACATATATTCTTCCAAGAGAGTAAGAAAAACATATGGTTTCTGAGGTAGAGGTATGCAATTGTACTGGATTTCTCAGCTATATATTGTATAGTTAGAAGCTGCATGTTATTTTTGGCGGCTCTA